TAGTGCCAATGAGAAGAAATTCCGGTTTGAATCAAGGTGAAAAATTGTGAGCAGGAAAAATCTAACCTTTGGATACGGGGGAATGCCGGGGGTCAGATGGTAGAGCACTCAGATGGTCCACTAGCTGGAGGTTTAGTGGTTCAGTTTCCTGTCCACATGTAAGAATGTGCCTGAGCAAGACCCTGAACCCTAAATGGCTCCTAATGATCATGCATGGTAGTTCCTCAGCCATCTGTGAGCATGAAGCCTAAAAGCTCTCAAGTGCACTCGATTTACTGAGTGTATCTAGAAGCCATAAGCAGACCTAATAGTCAGATAGTTGATGAGATTTTGAAATTACAGAACACTGGGAATACACTATAAATCAAAATGTTTATTCATACCTCACTCTCCATTCATCCAGTCACGTAATGCAAAATATATTTATGTACAAAATACATTCAGTTTCACCTTTTCACAAGAACAACACAAGCAATTTACAGTATAATACAAGACAACTTAGTTCATAGAAGATTAGATTGTGTAAACATTGTCCTCAGTTTCTTTTATAAAATAAAAAAAAACAATGTCAATCTCACATTACAAATATAACAGTTTTACTCTTTATGCAGTATTAAAAAAAGACACATTTATTATCCTAATATTAAATGAACTACTGACAAAAAACTAACAAAGCAGAACTGAAATTATATAACTCATATGAATGTAAACACTTTGATAAGTACAAGTTTGGAAATGTAAGGTTGCTTTAAAAGCTTTCACAAATTCACGAAATTTACGAGATTAAAGTAATAATAAGTCGCTAAAAAAGAATTGCTAGTTGGCAATGCTCGAAATGAAAGCAAGTACAGCAGTTTTCCGTCACACAGGTATTTCATACATTATGTGTTGTACATTATATTACAACACATTATTAACACATTAGTATGGTACCTCTGCTATCAGTTGTAATGGGGATAGATGACAGTCAATATTCAACTTCTAATCTTTGTACCTAAGACTGCAAAGGAAGAAAAGCAAATATTTAATTATTTTAATGTTAAACAGGCTTTGTATTGATAATCGATTAACTGCACTTGCCATTTCTGTACAAATCTAGATAGAAAGAGAGAAAATGCATTACTGCTCTAAAACAAAAATCAATCTACAGTTACAAGATAAGGTCTTGTAATTGTCTGTGACCTCTTATTTCCCTTTCCTGCATGGCTGTCTGGTGATTACTCTGTTTGCTGGCTCAGAACCCGTTCACTTTGACAATAGACTCTTTGTCTTTCTTGCAGTCTAATTAAGTCTTTGGTAAATGCCGCTTGCAGCATTTGTCCTGCTACAATACAGTACGTTTTTTATACTGAATGTGCAGTATGTCTGTGTGTGTGTGTGTGTTATGGCCGCAGTTCAAAAAGTTATGTCACAAAAATAAACTACAGTCTCTCACAGCGTTGGCTTTCTCTCATTTGAACGTGCGCAGTAAAGTTCATTGCAGCTTTAGTGTTCATGATAATAGTGATGTGGATGATGGAAGTTTTGATAATAACGTAATAATTAACTATAGAGACACAGATGATGATGATAAAATGTAAGTTGTTCTCTCCACTTTTAGCATGAAAGCTTATTACGATGTTGCTGATATTCACGATGATGATGATGGTGATGATGATGACAATTTCCACCCCAAAGCGTAAGCGTAAACTGTTAGTTGATGAACTGAGCACCTCCGTGTGGCACCATCTCCGTCACTCCCCATGCCACCATGTTCCCCCTCTGCTCGCAGCCTTGGCCCTCCCACAAAGCCAGCTGGGAAATCTCTTCCTCTGACAGCACCTTGTCCCACATGTTCACCCCTGTCATCTTCCCCGCGAACGCCTGCTTGGGATCGAACCCTCCCTCAAACCCTGGCACCCCACTCTCGCTGCTCGGAGACTGAGGGCAGCAGCCGTTCCTTTCCTGCCCCAGCTGGAGTGAGCCTCCGTCGGGTAAGACGTGTCCCTCAGCCACTCCGGGTGTGGAGGCCACCTTTCTCCCGCCTGCCCACAGGGACGCAAGGCCTTGCTCAGATGACCAAGCCCCGCACAAGTGGATCCACTCTGACATGCCTCCTGGGTTCAACACGCCCTGTGCCTCCACCAGGTGAGCCTCTCCTCCGATGGTGAAGAGCGCAGAGGTTTGACTGAGCAACAGCTGGATCTCATACGGGTTGCGGCGGTTTCCGTAGGAGAACAGCACGGTTCTGTTGGAGACGGCGGTCGGCTTTACCCACATGCAGACAGTGAAGGAGGAGAGGGAGAGAGGGACATCGGGTATGACGGAGGTGTAGATTCGGCGGGAACGCATGGGAAAGAGGAGCGCCATCTCACAACCTAAAGACAACAACAAACAAACAACAAGATGTGATAGTGTTCATTGTCACAAGAATCATCATTTCATATGCAACATCAGGTTGCCTTTTTTATTGTTATAAGCAATGTAGTATCTCCATTATTTGTTACATGGCCTGATGACATTCTCCTTTTTATCTTTATTATTCATCATCAGTGTCAAAAAAAGATTTTGAAAAGTTGACTCAGTTGTATGGATAAGGATAATACTAGTCTACTATTAATACATTGCTGGTAATTCAACCCTGTCCTTGTGCAGATGTCAGATCAGCTTTTATGTATATGGAATCTTTAACTCAACACAGTTGAACTAAAGAACTTTAAAGAGAAAGTGACAAACAGAACTAAATTGCATGACATTGAAAGCAAAAAAAGGCATGCACTCCACTACCAGTAAAGACAGGCAAGAACCTGGGTAAACCACGCGAGATGAAGATGTCTGAGGGGAACTAAAGTAAAATCAAAAATGATTCCAAGTTGATTGAAACTGGATCTAAACATAAGTGGATCAAATATAGATTATTTGTTGCTGCATCATATGGATAAATGTCCTTACACATATTGTTAAGCCATACAGTGCATTCTCTTCAGTATGACCACACTGAATGTTGTTCTGAAAATGTACATTTAGGTGGCAGTATTACATATAGAAGTGTGTTTGAATTTTTTCTGCCCCACCAACACACACTCATACACACAAACCCACACCTCCCACTCTGGGTCATCTGGTTCATTTCATTATTTCCCTTCTTCTCTCTTAATCACTCACTCTTTCTCTCAAATAGTCCCTGGTGAACTCTGTGTTGTGAAACCTACTTTTGTTGATTGATCTTTTGATGCCTAAATTACCTCTGTTGGAGGTATGTATAGTAGTATGAAGTGTGTGGAAAGCTCTTGCTTATTGCCCCAACCTGATTTCTTTGTTTTACGTTCTTCTACGTCACTTTCTTTTGAGTTTTTTATTTTTGATCTCCATTAGTCTCTCGCTCTATCTCTCTCTCTCATTTTTCATCTCCATTAATCTCTAGTTCTCTCTCCCTTTCTCTTTCTTGGTCCCAGTCTCTCACCCCCGTCCCTCCCGTCACTCCTTGTATTTCTGTCTCTCCACCCAGTTCGCAGACACACTCCATCCCTACTAAAACCGAATATTGATGTTACATTTGTCTCAGGTTTCTGCCACTCAAAAATAATGGTGAAAAAAGACATTTGAACGGGCTGAGTGTGTGTGTTCATGATGGTTTCCATCTGGTTCTGGTTTCCCAGGGTGCTTTGGTGTGGTTTTTGTGGCGACTGGCTAATGATTACATCTCCCTCCGCTCTGTATGTAGGCTAGTTTTACATTTCTGGACCGTAAAGGTGTGTGTGCCTGTGTGTGTGTGCATGCGTTAGATGAGTAATATAACCTATCCTGTTTTTGTGTGCAGTTTCATTTGATTAATTCAAGGAAAGGAAGTTGTCTTACTGACATGTGTGGTGCCTTTGTGCAACTAAACTTGGTCCAAGTTTACTTACTCACATAGTCACTAAATCTCTAAAATTGCATTGTTATTAATCAGTGTTTAATTCAAGGATGAAGAGTAAACCAGAGCAGCAGCTCTGCTAACTGAAACCACATGCTGTAGTGGCTTAAATCTGAGAATTTGTGTTCCCAGTCAGTCCAACAAGAGATCTGTATTATCCCATCTTTTCATCCATTTATTGTTGTCTGCTATTATCTTCAGACATCTACAAGTCCTTAGGCAAAGATTCACACTGTTTCTGGGCTTTTTCTTGTGTGATAACTTACCAAAATGTGTTCATAATAATGTTAAACAAACAGAAATAATAGCCAATAAGTGAGTATTATACAGCTGACCCTATACCTGACCCCTAGTCTGTCTTCTTCACGTTTAGCTGTACTATATCAACTGAGACTAATGTTAGTAAGTGAAGGGAAAAGGATAGGTTGCGACTTGAGGAGGGCAACACGCCTGGAGACAGACAGAGGAAGTGGAAAAGGTATTTAGGACGAACACAAGCTGCATGATTAGTTGTTCAGTTCAGAAGCAGAAGGGGGTCTCATTCTTTTACTTGAAGCGTGACCTGAATGTGTCAACGCAGAGGAAAATGTTAAGGTGGAAGGTTGTCTGGGTGCCACTGTTGACAAAGGTGAAGAAAAATACAAAGACACAGAAAGCAACAGGTAATGACAGACACAGAGATTGCTAATGGTAAGATGGATATCTCACCTGCGGGTAAGTATCTTTGCCTCGATGACCTCAGCACTTCTTCCAGTCCCACCCTCGTCTGTTGCAGCTCAGCCAGCACACCGTCTAAAGCCACCTCTCGTGATGTGACCTCTTGCTCCCGGTTCCCAGCCCCTCCACCTTCTGTAAGCTGGGATCCTGTCTTTGAATTCATCCTCATCCCAACTCCTGGGCTGCTGAAGCAACTGCTCTCCAGCTTGGCGAGTCGGGAAGCTTGTGTTCGCGCTGCCGAGAGGAGCTGCTGTAGCATCGCCTCCAGGTGGTTTGAATTCCCGACAGGACTCCCAGCAGCAGCAGCAGCAGCAGCAGTAGAAGTGTGATCTCTGGGTCTGATGCGCTCCAGGGTCTCTCTGAGGCGGCCCTCCAGCTGCAAGGCCATTCTTCTTCCCGCTGTTTCCACTGCAACCCCACAGGAGCCACCATACTGGGCTACAAACCTGACCAAAAGGACCAGTGTGAAAGATCTGCACCTTTTCAACTAAAGATCTTCAACCCTCAGTGACTTCGTTTTGCGCCAGAAAATCAATCTTGGCTCCCAATTCACTCATAAAAATATTGTAATTATCATGAACTGGTTGAATTCAGGATACAAAAACAGCAAAATTACATCTTTTCTGGTTTTCTTAGTCTTCTATGATGGTAAAATGAATATTTGAGTTTTTCACATCATTAGACCATTTATAGACTGAATGATTCATCAGGTGATCAAGAAAATGATTGTTAAATTATTTGATAATGAAAATAATCATTAGTTGCAGCCAAAGTCCTAAGTACCTCATTAGATCAAGGATTTACTAGTATTTGCACTTTGAGGTTGTAAACTTTGATCACCAGTGTAGTAAACCTCTGAATTACCTTTTAACAGGCACCAACTCAGGGTAATATAAAAACCTCCACAAAGTCAACAGATGAATAACATTTTTGAGAGCAGTTTCACACTAAAACACTGAAACTGTATTGGGACCTCTTAAATTTGTGACTGAGTTGCTCAATTCACATTTTTGGCTAATTGAATCTCCTTTGAGATCGTAATTACTCGGACCTCTGATTTCTTTGTCCAACCAACCTGAGCATTTCTCCGCGCAGTGACCCCATCTCCACCTTGATGATGTCATCCGCATACTGAAGCAACATGTTCTCCCTCATCTGACTGTTCTCCAGCATTGAGAAGATTTTGTCCCATTTGGTCAGGTCTGGAGAACCACAGGGGGCTGGGCTCAGTGTGGCTGGAGACGGCCATGGTAAAAACAAAAACGTGAGACAAAAAAGAAAAGTGAAGATATCAAACAGAGGATTAGATCATTGAGAGTTTTAGTGTGTATGAAGAGGAGGCTTTTCTTTCGGGTAGAACAAAGTCTGCGTGGCCACTCTCAGACAAAACTGAGACAAGTGCTCCTAATATCAATGGATTTTGTCACTTCTAGCATTGTCTTGTCTTACTTCGACGTTATAATCATGCTCTAATTTTTTAATCTATAATTCCCATAGTGCTTTGGTATATTTAATCAGCAAATATTATGCAATCATTGTCGGCTGTCGGCTACAATCACCAAACCACATTTTAGCCTATATTTATTTGAATTTTGGCAAATATCTGCCATTAAAAGTATGCCAATTTAGCTCTTAGTAGTTAGTTTATAACGCACCCATGGATACACAGACACAGATAACTATTACTGGATTACTTTGATACTGGAGAAAACTTAAAATGTGATTCTGAAGCAAGTTCTGGAGTTATAAAGAGTGTCTTTTTTCTATGATTTCTAAGTGGATTTATGGACATTTATTAACAGTGGACAGTGGAGATAATGATACACTCTGAAAGTATAAGTCAAACTAAATCTAAAAATACATGTATCATATATGTGTGTTAAGATTTGACTGAGTTATGACTTCAGGTTGTTACGACTGAGAGGGAATACGAATTTTGACTCAAATTGCTCATCACACAGTATGTCATCATAATCTGCTCTTCAAAAACAAGAGCAATGAAAGAGTTCATTTGTCCCACACAGTTCGAAAAGATTCAAGGTGCAAGGGCAGGTGTGGAGAGAGCAAGCAGGAAGTATCTTTTATCAGATGTGCTGAGTTGAACATACTATGATCTCTCCAGCTTTGACAGGAACGTCAAGGCCATAATTGTAAGGAGAAAGACCAAAAAATAAAAACATGTTGAAGTCTGCTGCTGCTGAGGAGCAAAAAATCGTAATTGCTGCAGGATGCAGATGTCTTATTTAGCCAAAGAGATGAACAACACAAGACAAAAGAGGGAGTGAGGTTGTTTAGGGGAGAGATGAGAACGTGAGAAAGAAACAGGACAATTGACTCATTAACCGCTTTGCTTTTCCAGCAAGATCGCCTGGCTTCCTGCGTGAATGAGGAGAAAGAAGGAAGGAAAAGGAAAGTTTATTTTACACTGAAAAGGAAAACGAAGACCTCCTGAGAGTAGGGGAAAGATAACAGCAGTATAGAGAGAAACACAGAGACAGGAGAGTAAAACAATCCAGGGGTGAGAATGTATGTCAGACACACTGTTCTGATTAACGTTTGAGCCTCTCAAAGTCTGTTTATACCTGCAAACGTCTTCTAGAGGGGCATTATCACAAGACTGCAGGATCTGTCTCCATGGTTCAAAGTAAATTAAGCAGAAGGTTCATGCCCTTTGCTCCCTCTGACTTACCAAACTCAAAGAGCAGGACTGTCAGAGGTTTTAAAAAGGATTTTGATGGATCTGGGAGTAAGTGGAGTGCAAAATTAGCTGGGATCCTTGACCCTTTGTGGTACTTTTAACCTACTGAGTTTGAAGGTGTATGAAGAAGAAAATTATTTGACTAATTTGATAAATTATTTTGAACTGGTTACCACTTTTCAACCCGTTGACCCACAACTTCAGGGTTTTAAGTAGCAGTTGCACATTTACATTCATTTTAATCAACATACAACAACAAGCAGGAAGATGTGAACTACAACCTGTACCCTCCTCTTGCGAGCAGTTATTTTACTTATCTGCTTCCATTTTTTAGCCATTAGCCATACTCATTCATTTTAAAATGGACTGTGTCATGACCTCTTTCATGTTTCCCTCATTAATTCAAATTCCACTCAGAGATTCAGAGATTAGGTCAGGAGCAATGATCTCTACAAAAAGTTCTGAGCTCACATGATTTGACTTCTCCTTCCTTTCCAGCAAGCCAATTATGAAATTTTGTGTTTCTTTGTCCTTCTTGCGCCCGCCTTTTCTTGCTTTGGCAATCTTTTTTGTTCCTTCTTCACTTCATGAGGTTGTGTTTTACTACTTTTATGCATCTGTTCACTGCCACTCTCATTTTTGCCTTCAATCAGGTTTAATCACATGGCAGGCTGTGCCCAGAGCAGAGTTTGCTGCCTGTAAACAGTTGGTGCTGCAATTATACCTCCTGCCAGCTTTAAAACAACAAACAAATGCAGAATGCGAGCTGTGAGGGGCCCATTGCACGCACACAAACACGATCATGACAGACTTGAGCACGTTTTTTTCTCTCACAAACTATGATCCTTTCCCAAACAGCCTAAAGAAAAGAATCACTGTCATATACTGTGTATTTTTGCAATTGGTGGCCAGTCATTCATGCTGTAATATGTGTCTGTCCCGGTC